TCAAACTTCAGGTCTCTGTTCTCAAACTTAAGGTGCTAAAACTTCTCAAGGGAATGACTGAAAGAATGTCATCTCACGGGTGATAATCAGGGATCCTGGTTTTCTCTTTTTAAATATCACACATTCTCTGATAAAAAACAAACAAACCACGAGTTCTCTAATTAAACCCCTCGAAATCCACATTTTTTTCTGCAATTAAAATGATAAGCCACTATATATAGATCAGGTATCGGTTGAACACAATGATTTATTGATATATTTATAATATTAAACCAATTTGGAAGCCTACCAGTGCCACAGTCATTATAATAAAATTAATTCTAAATACCTATGCGTTTTGGCATTTGATTTGGCGTTCTTTATTATGAAAAATCAGATGTCCTCCTACCCCGTTTGCTCACCAGGTTGCGGATCCAGCTCCGGTTATCCCCCCTCACTGCTTTGTGTCCTTGGGTATCCTTGATACGCCAGTGCCCTGCCCATGCCATTGCCTTGCACTCCCCACCCACAGCCCCCTGGCCCTGCTGGTGCCCCTTACTCCCAACCCTGCCAGAGGGGGCCCCCAGCCTCCAGGGCTATGGGGCCAAGGACCCAGGTCTGCAGCCCCCTGTCCCTCCACAGCAGTGCCCAAGCCCTGGCTACCTGTAGGAGATGGTGGCTGCTGTGGTAGAGAGGAGCATGGAGCCTGGCTCCCCCTCTCCCATAGGCAGGACAGGCTGAGCAGAGCCCACGTGGCAGGGGGCAGATGTGGGCTGCCCGCTGCAGGCTTGGGGCTCCGTGCCCTGTGGCCCTTCCCCCAGGGCCTCCTCAGCCCAGTGGGCAGGACCTAGCGTGGCAGGGCAGAGCAGGGCGGCTAAGCTCAATGCTGCTGCCATGATGCAGTAGCAGGGGTGTTGTTGTGCCCCTCGCTGCTGCTGGGCAGGCAGGAAGCGCTTGGTCATGGCGGCATGGGGCTTGTGGCTTTTGGGGGTTTTTAATCGGAGAACTCATCAAGCTTCCCCTCCCTGCTCTGCCCTGCTGTGGTGAATCTTGCCTTCTGGGCTGTGGAAGGGGAAGGGCAGTAGAGCAGGGAGCCCGAGCCTGCAGTGGGCATCTCACACCTGCCCCTGCCCCACTCACAAATCTGAGGACCATGTGCCCCCCACTCCCTCCCTGGCACTGCGTGCAGGGGTGGGGAGCCAGCCCCGCACCATGCCCCTGTCCTGCTCTTCGTTTGGCCCTGCAGCTGCACATTCTGGCTATGGGCCGGGCAGCACCCCCAGCCCAAGGCCTATCCAACTTTCTTCCTCACTATGGGGGCCTCAATCCCCCCACCCCACCCACCAGATTTACCTATGGGAGCTGCTTTCCAGGCTGCCTGGCAGCCATGTGCAAATGGTGCCCCCTGCTGATTACTCTCCCCCTGCACCCCCCAGCCCCTTGCAGGTTGGAACTGTGGCAGCCTGCAGGGAAAACCCACCATTTCCTGCATTTTTCTCTTTTCAGTGAGAAAATCCATGTTCTACCACATTGTTCCATCACAAATGGAAAACCTGATCCCTGGGGATAATGTATTTTCTCCTTATCTCACTATAAAAAATAGCTAAATGGTTTAGCTGAAACTTCTCCAAAGTAGTCAGCTATTCAACACAGTTTCAGTCAAATGGTTAAAGCTTAGTTGTAAGCACCTAAAAGCAAGGTCTTAAGTGAGAAATACGTGTGTACTGTGAGAGAGATTCTTTCTGTTGCGGCTGTAATCCTCATGTCAGTGGGATACACTGTGTACCTAGTTACTAGAAATGGTAGGCACTTCCAAAATAAGGTCTTTCCAATAGAATTTGGTTGTATTTTTCAGTGTTAGATATGAGTAAACAAGAAGTGAGGCATCTATAGCATCCATTTAAAATCATAATTGCACTCTTTTTATATCAATAGAAGACATTGCATTCTAATCGTATTAATATAAAGAAACTGGATCATAGGATCATGGAAAGCAGGGCTGGATGGAACCTCACAAGGTCATCCCGTCAGTCCCTTCACAAAACCATTCCAGCTAAATGCCTATCTAACATGCTCTTGAAAACTTCCAAGGATGGCGATTCCACAGTTTCTCTAGGTTTCCTCTTCCAATGCTTGCCCCTCTTATAGTCGGAAAGTTCCTTCTAATCCCTAACCTATAGCTCCCCTGCTTCAGATTGAGGCTGTTGCTTCTAGTCCTGTCCACTACAGTCACAGAGAAAAACCCATCTCCATTCTCTTTGTAATCACACTTCAGGTATTTGAAGACTGTTATCAAATCCCCACTCAGCCTTCTCTTCCGCTGACTAAATAATCATAGTTCTTTCAGCCTTTCCTCAGTAAATCTTGCCTCCTAGGCTCTTAATCATTTTTGTTGCTCTGTGCTGGACTCTTTCCAATCTTTCCACATGTGTCTTGAAGTATGGGACTCAAAACTGGACACAGTACTCCAGGTGAGACCTCACCAATGCTGAATAAACCAGTATAATCACTTTGCTTGGTTTGCAAGAATCACTTCCCTTGGTTTCCTATTAACACAACTCAATATGCTTTTGGCTTTTTTGCAGCAAGAACACACTGCTGGCTCATATTCAGTTTATGGTCCACTGTAACTCCCAGGTCCTTCTCTGCAGTATTGCAGCCTAGCCAGTCATTCCCCAGTAAGTATTTGTACATGCAGTTATTCCACCCCAGGTGCAGGACTCTGCACTCTTCTTGTTGAATCTTATCTGATTGATTGCAGATCATTTTTTTCCAGTCTGTCCCGTTTTTCTGGATCCTAGCCCTGCCCTCTGGAGTATATGCTACTCTGCTCAACTTGGTATCATCTGCAGATTTGCTAAACTTGCACTTGATGCCATTGTCCAGATCATTAATAAGATATTAAACAATACTGGACCCAAGACTGATCCCTGGGGAACCCTGCTGATACCTTTTCCCACTTACATGTGAGCCAGTAAATGCGGTAGTATTTTTCCTTGTTCTTAATTGTTTGTGATTGATTTTCTTCCTTGCTCATGATTTCTTTACATCCTAGTGAACCTATTTTTTCCTCAGTCAGGGATGTTGGTAAATGCTTTGTTCTATTGGAAAAAAGATGTTCATCTCTAAATATTTAATTTGTTGCATTGGGCCAAAAGTGCCAGCACTTGTGCAAATGGCCACCAGCCTGTAGTGTTTTAAGTGTTCAGCCTTGTCATATAAGAGCATTATAAATTATGCATAACAGGAGATGCCACTCAGTAAATATTTAATATGTGATAGATATTTTTGTCTGAAATTACTTTTTCACTTGAAGAATGATTTAAGCTCTACTTTTTAGTTTTATGAGGTGACACTTTTATAATATCAAGGAGTGCTGGATGCAGTTTGAATGTCAGAGAGCTGCAGGGCAGCATTAATCATATTCATTTTGTTCTGAATGCTGGAAAACTTTCTTTTAGGTTTTACTGTTGTGGGGACCTTTTTTGGAGGGGATAGTAGTTTGTTCATCTCACCATTGTGACATTTTGGCTTGAAGTACTCAGCATTAGAAAGTGTTCTTAACAGGTAGCATTAACTTTACGTATTCCCACAAAATCTGTAGTGGTGAAAATGAAGAATAAAATGAAATTTAGACCAAATTAGCTCTGTTGTTATATTTATGCGAGGAGAAGGAATATCTGAAATACTGGACCTTCTTACACTCTCATATTTGTTAACTTTATGTATTTAAAGAAACATGCAAAAAAACTAACCACATACAGAAATGTAAGGTCTTGTAAAGTGAAAAAACAGCAGTCATTCCATTGTTAGAAGTTTTTTCTTATGCGTTTTAGAAGGGCCACTACAAAAGTGTATGCATTGTGATATGTAGCTGTGAAATGTACTGCTTTCTCTGTTTCACTGTTGTTGACCTCACTGATCTGATGCTGGTTTAGACAATTAAGTTAAAACTCCTGACACATTTGGAAGTCCTTTTTATGATCCATAACTGTACTCTTATATTTAAACCCTGATTTTATCTTTCTTAAATTGTAGACTAAAGTTTTTTTATTTCAAAGCCAGATGTATCTCAATTGTTATATATATTAAAATACAGTCACTGATGTATCAAAAATACTTGTAAAAATATTTTTTTGCTAAAAAAGGGATTCTGTCACTTTCTCATGCTAAGCAATAGGGCTTTGCAAAGCTTTGGTAGCTGATTCGATTCCGAGGAGATTTGGATTTGGTGGCCGAATCTCTGAATCCAAATCGAATTGGGACACCCATTAAAAAGGTCCAAATCGAATGAGAAGCTCCGAATCTGCCCAAACTCCAAATCTGCCTAATCAAATCAGGAGAGAGATTCAAATCAAATCAAATCACTGTCCCTTCAAATTGACCAAATCCAAATCTGAAGTGAATACTTGTTGCTTTGCACAGGTCTACTAAGCAACACTTTCTTCAGTGGAATCCTGGCCCTTTCAAACATTGTAGAATTGAAATTATGGCAGCAACTGTGATATGTTTATTTAATACACCATACTTCTGTTACATTGAAGATTACTTATAACTACTTAAGCTCACTGTTTTTTTTAGTTTTTCAGGCTTGTTATTTGAGCAAGTTAGTTTAATTTAAGTGTGGCCATAGATAACTCAGTTTTACGTCCCTTATCCTTACTTAATTCCATATGAATTTCCAAATTCTTCCTACCACACACAAGGTGGTATGTATCTTTCTTTCAGCCAATGTTCAAATATTGTTCTTAGACTAATTTTCCTTATCTTCTGGAATTCAGCTGCGTCTCCGGTTATTCCTGAATATCACCTTTATAGAATTCCTGGATGAAATTCTATAAGCATGAAATTCCCATTTGAAAAGCAAAATAGCATTTTTAATAGCTTGTATTTTTATTGTCCTTTGTACAATGTGCAACTTACATATTCATTTAAAAAGTGCTCTTTAAATAGAGAATGAATAGTAATTTCATATGTTCGTCCTTTTCAGAAAGTATACAGTTTCATTTTTTTCATTGCAGGAACAAACCTTAGCTCTTAGAAAAGAAGGAATTGGTGTTGTTTTAGATTCTGAACTCCCTCACTTAATTGGCATTGACGATGATCTTCTCAGTACTGGTATCATTTTGTATCACTTGAAGGTAAACACACGTCTTTGCTTCCATAGTCTTTATCTGCCTCATGATTCTTAAATGGACAACTTAAATGAAAGTATTAATTTGCTATCTAAATATAGTAAATGTTCATTATATTTCTCCAGTACTGTGACATCAGCTGTTAAGAGGCTATAACTTGTTCAAATTAAAATATCAATCAATTTTCAGCTTAAGTCTATCCTGCGGGTCAACTGTTTAACTAATGATAGATGTATGACATTACTGCCAAGTATATTGGTTTTACATTCATCTTGTTGTAAAGCTTGAATTGAAATCCAAATATAGATTAATTGCCCAAGAACTACCAAGGAGGCTTTGCACAGTACAAGTCAAATTTGAATTGGTTAACAATTTTATATAATAAAGATTGTCTAATAAACCAACCTAAAAATATTACTAGCTATACAAACTACTATGGTTAAACATCTGTGTAATTCATAATGCTGGCTTTATGAAATAAAATAATCTTTTCTTCTTTTGAGGTGTTAAATTTAACAATTTCTTTTTGATATCTAGGAGGGCCAAACCTATGTCGGTAGGGAAGATGCTGCAACAGAGCAGAATATTGGTGAGAAAGCTGTGGCATTAGTCACATCCATCCATCCTTCTAATGTTCCCTCTTATGTCCAGCACCCAAGCACATTACATATTTAAAATTTCCCCTCTTCTTTAATGAAAATGTTACATATTGTTGATAATAAGTGTACATTTTTATTAATCTTTTAATAAACAAGATACACAAGAGAAATGCATTTCAGCGCTTGATTTACATTTTCATAATTAGGTCGGACTTAGTTCAAACAGAGTCTTCCAACGTGGCTCTTAAAATTGCCTGTAAACCAATATGGCTACGAACTGTACCCCTACTTTCAAAGAGGAACTTCTTTGTAGTGAGACATTTTGTAGCACTATGTTGTTTGCACAGTTACATGTAGCACTACAAGGTTCTAAACCTGCTCTCCCCCTGCCCTTCCTTTCCCTGCCATCACCCCGCTGCCAAGCTGCAGTAAAAGCTACTGCAGGTAGGGATGGACACTTTGTAGCACTACAAATGAACTTCTGTCCATAGCCTTTGTGTAGCTACTTGCTGTGGTCAGGAGATGATCGTTTTCTTAGTCTGTTGCATGTCAGTTTTATTTTATTGCCTTCCCTAAAATAAACATTGGATCAACACTCTCCACCCTGATAGAAACTTAGGCATGTTTGTACTGACTTGTTTATTCTCTTGGTGTTTGAACAAATGAGAGCTAAGCCTCTTAGTATATGTTGTATGCATGGTCCATAATAGGAGTCCCAGTGACCACATTGTATCTTTTGCCCCAAATTTTAAATAAATCAGAAAAGTTGGGTCGAAAGGGACAGGGATGGATCCAGGATTTGGCAAAAGGGGGTGTTGGAGTAGTAACCTGTACTGCAGGGATGGTTGCATCTTATTAGCCCTGCCTTGCCCCCCAACAGTTTCACCCCAACCAGTGGTGTGGGCAGACCAGATTGGGGGAGCCTCTGGGAACTTCTCAAAATCCCCAAAGCAGGAAAGATACCCTCCCCCCACACACCCCTCCCCCCCATCACTAGAGTTGCATTACCTTTCCCCCCACCCCGCTCCACCAGCCACCGCTGTTTTTGCTGTCTCAGGGGTGGGAAAAGCTTCAGAGTCGCTTTTGCCCACTTCAGCCTGGCTGGCGGGGTGGGGGGAGAATGGAACATACAGACAGGGGCTAAGCTCAGTTGGGAATGGGACAGGACAGTGGCAGTGGTGATGGGTAAGGGGGGTGGGTTCTGCCACTTGCCCAGTCCCCCTGGGAGCAGGCCTGGGGAGGGGGGACTTCACCCCCTGCCCTTGCTATTGCTGCTGCTCTCTGTCCCAGCTGAGCCCAATACCCATGCAGCCAGGCTGTAAAGGACAAAAATTACTCTGAAACTTACCACACCTCTGAGACAGCAGGAAAACAGAAGCAAGAGGAGGAGAGAGGGAAATGGAGGGCAAGGTATATGCCTCTGAGCATGGAGAGGAAGGTTGGGGGAGGTTCTCACCTGCTTCGGAGACTTCAAAAAATCTCCAGAGGTTCCTGTGGAATGATCCAGCCATACCACTGCATCCCTTCTGGATCTGCCACTGGAAAGGGACCTCCAGAGGTCTTCTAGTCCAACCCCAACCTGAGGCAGGATCATTCACTCTCCAAACCATCCTATACAAATCTATTGTCTAATCTCTTAGCAAAACTATAAAGCCAACCCTGACACAGTCACATCATCCTAACCTGCCACAGTTACAGCAGGGGGACCATGGTGTATAATGTTCTGCTCATCAAGGGTTGTTAAAATATACCCAAGACAATCCAAAGAAGAAAGCCATGCTCTTCCCTGCATGACTTGCTTTGTTTTCTATTGGAGACAGTTAATAAATGTCTCTATGTAAAAGGTAAATCAGATGCCCAAAGATATTGGTAGAAGGAAAAGACATAATACTTTAACAAGAATAAAAATAAATAAATACTCAAAGCTTGATGGCATATACCCAAAATAAATAAAAATTCAAAATGCTGGTCTTATTAGTTGCTAAGGAACTAAGTATATCTCTTTGCTCTTGGGTGTTCTAGTTCTTCATGGCCTTGATTTGGAAAGTGAGCACTGCATCTTTGAAAATCTCAATGGGACAGTGACACTAATACCACTGCATGGAGCACAGTGTTCTGTGAATGGAATTCAGATTACAGAGGCCACGCAACTAAACCAAGGTATTTGTCTGGAAATATGTACCTTTTTCTGTGCAGTGATGTTATGCCTCTTTCTAATGAGATCTTTGGATGATCAGGGTGCAATTGTTAAATATAATATAATTTTAATTTTACCCTTTCACTTATTTCCTATTACAGCCCAAAGTTATCAGTTGAGCCTTTGGTTTTATCCTCAAACTAGAAAAATATTTTATAGCGGAAAGAAAATTTACTGTGTGTGTGTGATGCAGAAAATGAGGGGCTCTTTGGAGGCAGCAGGGAACTGCGTGGCCAGGCCGGAGGCACCAAGGCTAGTGCTCATGCTCTTGGGCAAAAGTGGGACAGCTGGGAGTTGCTTTCCAGGGGAGGAGATGGGAGGCAGGCTGTCTGGTGCGGTGCACAAGCCCCAGCTCAGGGTGGAGAAGGTGCCATAGGCCTCTCTTCCTCTTCTTTCCATCCCACACTAGGCCCGGACTCGCTCCATCACCACCCGCATGAGTTGGAGCAGCTGCAGCCACTGCACTCTGGCCTGTGTGGGATGGGGCAGCTGGGGGACCCCTTTGGCTGGACTGGGGGTGGGGACAGGGGGCAGTGGGTCAGGAGTGAGGGGCACTAGCAAGGTTGGGGGGCTGTGGTTTGTGAGTGAGGGGAACCGGAGGAGGGAGCTTGTGGGTCGGCAGTGAGGAGCACTGGCAGGGATGGGGGGGCTGAGCGCTGGGAGGGATGGGTACCAGCATGGCCCGGGGGTGGGGGACTGGGGGTTGAGTGTCATGGGCACCAGCAGGGCTGGGGGGGAGGGGCTGTGGCTTGGGAGTCAGGGGCAGGAGCAGAGCACCAGCATATCAGAGTTGCTCAGCACCACAAAGCAGCAGGGGGGACAGCCACAGCTGGACCCACATCCTGGTGAGTGAAGGTGGCCAGGGGAGCTCTGATTTTTCCATGATTAAAAAAAACCCCAAATCAACTGACAAAATATATAGGTATTTAGAATTTATTTTATTATACGGATTGAGGTACTGGTAGGCTTCCAAATTGCTTTAAAATTGTAAATATAGCAATAAAACATTGTGTTAAATTGATACATAAATATAGTGGCGTTGCATTTTAATAATGGAAAAACTTGGATTTTTAGTTTTTAAATCAGAGAAATTGGTATTTTTATCTGAGAATTTGCAATTTTAAAACACAGAAAACCAAGATCCCTGAATTAATTACTTGTTCTGCTACAGCTCTTCAGGAGCTGAAGCCCTTTTGTGCAGAATGTTTTACTATGAGCCTCTCTTGTACAGAAAGACAGTTTGCTAATTGCAGTTGTAGCCATGGGACATGTGGAACAGAGGCTGTCTGATGTAGGAAGGTCCCAAGCTGTTTAGAGAGAGATTTTTTTTTTTTTTTTTAATCTATGAAGATTTAAAAGAAAACCTTTTAAAATCTTGTATCCAAAAAGCAGCCTGTGTAGGTCATGGAGCACAGGTTATTTCCGAATATGCTAGTTCACGGGTTGTCAACCGGGGTGCTCATACCCCTGGTGGTACTTTGAAAGGTCCTAGGGGGTACGCGGGGACGGGTGGGGATGGAGCGCCACCACCCTGTGCCACTGCCTCACAGAAGCAGGGCCCGGGCAGGGTGAGAGCAGGACTGCATAGACAGTGTGGCAGCTGCTTGCTTCCCTCCAACCCCCTCCGCTCCATGTCCGGTCACTGACCACCCCCTCCCAGGGGTACACTTATTAAAAAGGGGGCTGCTGGGAGTACACTTATTAAAAAAGGTTGAAAACCCCTGTGCTAGTTCATTAATGGAAGTGTAAGAGGCATGTTCTTTTAGCCACGACGGTCTAGAAAATATGTGAGAGGCAAAGTTTCCTTAGGATGATCTTTTTTTATTGGACAAACTATGCAGTGGGATGCAATTAGACAAGTTTTCCAGTGCAAGACATTCTTCCTCAGGTGGCTTGCATTCAAAAGCTTGTATAACTTTATACCAACTACATAGCTGGTCTAATAAAAGATATCACCCTAAGAAATACGTTTGTCTTGAACTAGGTTATTAACTTGTACAGTTGCGGATGCATTCATTAGCAAGCTGATGCATGCTGTTTCCATAAACATTTTGAGATTGACTTGAAACAGGTTTTCAACCTTTTCGTGAGAAACTCAGAACAGCCTTGATGCTACATGCAGTACCTTTTGGAGTCAGCCCCCATGCTGAGAGCCCATGTCACCTGCTTAGCCCATCACATCAGTGCTGACCTATGAAAACACTGATCATGACAGTCACATGGAATGAGGAAAATCCTGGGTTTCCTGTTACCCTAGACAAAAGATTCAGTACTCTGCCATGTGTAAGCTAATTAGCTTTGGTTTGGAAGAGGTGTTACTGCTGTTGAATGCCATTTCTTCAAGTAAAATAATGAAGAGGCATTATTGATGGCCTTCCCATTGAAGGAGGAGCTGAAATCTACTGACATTTTTTTTTGTCAGTGGTAGAAAAAGCCCAAATGTCTTGGGATACCTTAAATAGAATGCTAGTCATAAAGCCAGAAAGTTTTTCCTTCTTATACAATGATGTCACTCCAATTCACTGTTAAGGATTGATTTCCAAGCCCACCACCCTGCAAACATTGGACAGAAAAACAAATTCTGTAGTTGGGGGGAGGGTTACATTTACACAGGAAAAAAGTTTGCAGAAGACGCATCTGTATTTTGATACAGAACTATGGGCTGTCTTGAATATCCCTAATATCTTTTCCTGAATATCTATAGCAATGTCAGGAATTTTTCAGCCGACACTATCCTAGAAAAGGAATTGCTTTTTATTTGAGTGGCAGCAGCATGTTCCATCATGAACATATTGACAAGGTACAGTGGTTCTCAGATTCTAACTCTTGGTAACATTCATTGACATCCAGATACGAATGAATGTTTTTACATTTATGGCATTGCTATTTAATAACTTCTGATTTTGTAAAACCAGAAGTTTTTGCTTGAAAAAACCAATGGGTTTGTTTTGTAAAATGAGTACTGGTTTCAAAATATTACAGAGCTCCTTCCCTTAATGGCTATATGCATGCTTCAATTGCTGTGATAATTTCTGTGTATATCATGATGCCTGGCAAGCATTCAGGTGCATACTTTGGTCTGGGTCAGTTGAAGAGGAAAATCAGACTGCAAATGAGAGTTATTCATAAGTGAAGGAAGAAGTGATAAGGTTGCAAATGCTCTGCTGCTTCTTTCTGGAACAGTGCAGGGAATATGTTCTCAGAAAAGTAGTTCCTGGTAGCTTCCCTTTATCACTGCTAAAATATCAAGAAGTACTGTATTTTTTTTTATTACTCTCATAACATTTTAAAAATTATTTGCACATGCTTTGTCAATTTATCAAACACCTAAATTTGCCTGTTTGGGGAGACTGGGTCTTTATTCTAAATCAAATAACTTCTAAATCAAAATAAATTCTTCTTACCCGAGGCCACAAAAAAATCTATGCTTCCTCAGCTCCCCTGAATTACTGTTTCGTGTGTGAGGGGAAGGCGGTAGGAGAGTACTAATGGTATAGATAATGTGATTGAATGGGGTTGTACAGGCTGCTGTAGAGACACTTTTAGTATCCTGTAAGGCTTGGCTGATGGTTTCCATCTGACCGTGGAAAGGATTTTTTCCTATGTTGTAGATTGTGTAGTGTAATTACTTGAGTCCTTATCTTTAACCTGAGTGTTTGTTAGATATTGCTGCGCTTTGTGTCTTATAGGTTGTTTTTGCTTAGGTTTTTGATAAACAACTTCATTGTCTATAAATATCTGAATATTTTATTTTAAGTTTACATGGACAGGGGTTGGTAGATTGCTGTGAAATTTTGGTGCTAGAACACATCCCACTCTTGAGCATAAAGATGAAGTACAAGATGCCTGTCAATAGTTTTTTAAAGAGCTAGCAGGTTACTCGGTGCATCTCTTGTTTTGTCCTTAGCTACTTCTGCAGAAATCCCAACACTTTACTGTAAAGAAGTTGAAATGTGGAGGAACGTAGCTGCCTCTATGGGATTTGCTGCTGTAGAGAGACAGGTGAGGAAATGGGAACTGTTTTCACAGACTGAAACCACCAGAGGCAGGGAAAAGTCCTGGGGACATAGACAAAGGTACCGGTTAACTTGGATAGGATGTGCCTGCAGAGAGAAGTAGACAGGATGCAATGAAGTTTGGGAGCCAAGCAACATTTGCAGGCAGAGACTGAGCTGTAGAAAAGTGTGTGAAAATCCAGGCATATAAGCAACAGGCAAACTTCTTGAGGAAAAGTAGGACATGAAATGAAGAATGAATATGTGGTGGGGTTTTTTCTGTAAGTGCTTGTCTTTTTGTGAAGAAACTATCATTTTTTTTCATTGAGTCCTAAAATGGGTTGTTAGTTCTGGCATTATTCTTCTCTCATAGAAGTTCTGTCATCTGGGTCCTGCTCCTGGGAATGTCCTTTCCTGTGCTATCAGACATTTATTTTTCGAATACTGCTTTGTGACTTGTTAGGTGTTCAGTCTGAAAACTCAAAACAAGTCATATTTATTGTAGAGCATATACTTCCCTCCAAGCACACACACAATACTACCAAGTTTGGTTTTGTTTGCCATGTCTAAGATCAGAGAAAAGGAGAGAGATTCTGATCAAAGGTTCATGTCCTTCAGTACTACCTCTCATCAAAGATCTTCTGGAAATGGAAAGCAATATGCTGTATACTGGCTGTATCTGAACATGTACTTTAATACGTATTCGTCTATTTTAATATGCATTAAATGCAACAAAAAACCCATGCATTTTTGTTAATGTGCATTAAAATAGGCTAATGTGCCTCACAATGGCAGTACTAAATTTAATACACATTAGCAAAGGTGCATTAATGAATGTGTAGATGTGCCCGCTGTGTAGCAAGACCACGGATAAATAGACAGATGGCAAGTATCTGAACGTAGCAGTGCAATGGATGAGCTAGCTAGTTATCATGCTGTTCTGTATTATGCATATCTTAGGAGATTCA